CAAACTCTGAGTCAAGAGGTATCACTGTTGCAGCATTCTCCTTGTTTTTGCCTCTTGTCCTGGTGATAAACAACAACATTTTGGGCTCATGGAATATCTCTGGTTACCACAAAGGAGACCTAACCCACTCTGCACTCTCCCACTTAGATGTCTGGCCACTTGCTTTCTACACGTCCCTTCAAATCCCAGTGTCAGAAATATGGGGCAAGATTCTTGGAGGGACTTGGGAGTTCCTCCAATGCTAGACTCACAGAGCAACTCTCAAGAAAAACAGGGGAAAAGGAACTAGACCTTGATATATCTATTTCCCAACAGACTCATTGTTAAAATTATTAGAAAACTGGTACTGTGTCATGATGGCTCTATCATCTGCAGCTCTTATGTCCCACTTCCTGTCTCTAAACACAATGCTATGTCCTCACAGTCACACATATTCCAGAGGGAGGTGGCATTTTTGTTCTTATTTCACAGAGGACGAACTTGAAATAGAGAAGCAATGGATAGAGTTCCTAGACATTTGTGATTCTACTTTTAGAGCAAATGATAGGAGTCTAAAGGTAGCTATATCCAATGGCAAGACGCAAGTGACTTGAGTACCTCCAAAGGATTCCACCAATAGCTCCAAGTTATGCAGTAGCCCTTTTCTTGGCGTATTCTGTGTAATGCAGGCTTCTACTTGGGCAAGAAAATATCCTTCTGAGGAGAGCAGATACTACCTAGTGACTAAGGGAAATCCACCACATCAAAATGTAAAGGGGGTTTGTCCTTCGATGGTTTTACCAAATAATTTGGAGAAGCCAAGACAACTCATTTAATTGCAGCAATTCATTTTAATTGCCATCCTTAAAGGAGCATCTTATTTGTTCATAGTCAAGTATTTACATATTTTTCATGTTGCCATACTTAAAATGAGTGTTCTCTGTACCCTACATTTCTAATACATAAGTAGAAGAAAATGATCCAAAAAGTAATAATATAAAGATGATCAAAAATTCTAAACAAGGTGTTTCAGCCTGCTGGAATCTTGGAGCTCTCAAATTTACTTACTCACTGTGAGTGAGAGGAAGGGATAAAGAACACTTTCCTTCGGTATCAGGCAGGCCTGGGTCTGATTTCTGATGTTGCCACTTACTAGCTGTGTGGATTTGTGCAGATTTCTTTGTTTGAGATTAGTTTCTTCAACCACAAAATAGAAACCTAACTCATAGAATGGTCATGGTACTTTAGTGAGCATTATTATGCCTTTTGGGGAGTTAGACAACAGGGGTGTCAATGCTTGCTTTACATGCTGCTTTGGTGATTGGGGGTAGTTATTAGAGAACTTCCCCTGCCCTTTTTTTAAATACAGTCATCCTTTGGTATCCAGAGTGGATTAGTTCCAGGTCACCCACAGCTACCAAAATTCTGGATGCTCAAGTCCCTTATATAAAATGTCATTGTATTTGCATACAACCTTTGAACATTTTTTCTTATACATTATCTCTAGCTTACTTATCATAATTAATATAATATAAATGTTATATAAATAGTAGTTTATTGTATTGTTTAATGATGGGGAAATTTGTGCATATTCAGTACAAATGCAATTTTTTCTGAATATTTTTATCTGCAGTTGATTGAATGAGCAGATGCAGAACCCACAGAGAAGCAGAACCAACTGCATGTAGAAAATGAATTGACTCTTACTGGTCTCAGAGAGGCACCTATGAAGCATTTGGCAAGATTCATGGTCTGCAGTGTCTTGAACAGATACTCCTGGTTATTTTTAACATAACTCACTAAGTTTAATGTTCATTTTAACTGCCTACTCATAAGCATTTGTGTTTTGCTTGCAGTGAGAAAAACTAGGTTTTATGACTGATAAATATTCTTATTACAGATTTCATGGTCCCAATTCTGGATGGTTATTCACTTGATCTATTTAGAAAGTTTTCTCCCTATGAAGATAACTGATACTGATTGAATCAACATTTCCTGAACACCTACTGGCAGGTGCTTTGCTGGGTACTCAGTCGGGGTGGGACAGAGTATTTTGGGCCCCAAAGACTCAAGGAGCTTATCCTGTAGTTTTTATGTGGTCGCCAGGCTGACACAGTCAGCATCATCTGTGGACTTGTTAGAAATGTAAATTCTCAGGCCCCACTGCAGGCTGCCTGAATCAGAAACTCTGGGGGTGAACCCCAGCTGTCTGTTTGCATAAGCCCTCTTCAAACGAAGATCATCCTCATCAAATGTCAAAGTAACACATATGCCATGAGTTTACTGAGCTAAACTGGAAAGTATTATTTGTCTTTCGAGGAAACAGAGGCCCAGTGGCCAAAGGCCACATGAGAAGCCGATGGAGAAACTGGACTCTGCAGAACTCAGGTCTCCCACCCCAACTGGCCCGGATTCCTTCTGCTGCTTTTCTGGTGCTGTACTGCCTGTGTCAGATGAGGGAGCCCCATGTATTGCCAGCCCAAATGACAAACATTAGTTTTCAAAGAACTGACAAAGAGACAATCAGCTCTCTATGAAAATAATGATCACTAACAAAAATAAAAATCTAATCAAGATCACCCACTAAACTAGCAGTCATAACCTAAACCTTTAGCAAATATCCTAGTTCTCTTCATAAGATTAGAGATGGAGAAAGGGGAACAAATATACTGAAGATATGACTGGAATAATATCTGAAAGAATGTAGTTTGAAGATATGTTAGTAGTGATTCACTATCTGCGGAGGATTACAGATAATCTTTCTCTTTTTCTTTGTATTTTCTGGATTTTATTTTTCTAACTAAACATTACTTTTCTAATCAGGAAAAACAGTAAAACTGTTTTTGGAAATGTTATGGCACTCAACATGAAAGTTTATTTTCTATTTCTATTTCTTTGCATTCAGCAGGACAGTGTGTATAGTAATTATTTATCTCATGCCATATGTTACATTGAAAATGAAATTCAGTAAATATATTTCTTCCAGCTGGCCCCGAAAACGAAGAGGTTAAATGCATTCCGAGGTTCAAAACACTAAGAATTAAGGCAGGCTAACTGTGAAGTTAAAGGAAAACTTAATCCCAGTATTGAGATCTCTGAAAGCACCCCTTCTGAAAAACATTTATGTGACACCCAGTGCTTTACTCATATCTCCCTGACGTTTAACCCTTGGCACAAAATGCAATGTTTAGCAATTCCAGGCAAAGTCTTTTATCTGCGGATAAAATGCTCAGAAGAAGGTCAGAGAGGTGAGATACAAAATGATCCTTTCACCCCAAAATTTTGTCCTTGTGGGACAATAAAACATTCCAAATAATTGGTAAATTCCATTGTCCAAAATATCCTCAATTTTTTTTTCTTCCTCAAGAAATATTTGCTCAGATATTTATGTTGGATATCTTTGTTCCATAAATAAAAAATAACTAAATAAATGAGACTCATTTAAAGAAATATTACTGCCACAAAAGCATTGTTGTAATGTTTCACTTGATAAGAAATGATGCTTCAAAGACAAAACAACATTGTTTTACTGAAGCTTTCAGCAGTATAAATTCAGTGAATGTTAATTGAAACTTCCTAAAGGAAACAGGAAGTAAAGAGCCAATGAAATGAATGTGGAAAAGGAAACCCCAGTAGCTATCTCTGTCATCAAAATACCTCACAATAGCTGACATTTTTAGAATTTGCAGCTTCTTTCTGAAAAGTATGAGTTATTGGGAATAGACTCTATATATCTTATAGTACCATATTCACACAACTGACCTTACTAGTACAGTCAGAGAAATCAGAGAGAATTTATCATCTTGGATTTCCTGGTTCAGATGAAAGTTAAAGAGGATGTCTCTTCAAAGAGTCTCCAGTTTCTCTCAGTTCTCTGCTTTCTTTCACAGAGTAGCCACACCCATTATGAAATTACTAAGGTAACAATAAAGATATACAACTCACAGGAAGTTTCTCCCCAACAGCCCATTTCCCACTCTATTCCCATCTGCCTGTGAAACTGTTCTACAAGAGCCTTGTTGACAACATATTAAGCTGAACTGTTGTCATTTCAGTGTAACAATTTTTGACAACCACACAGAGAGAATTACAGCCCATTTCCTAGCATCATTCTTACAAGCCCCGTTCTAATTCTTCTATTTCTCATCCCCTCTGGAGAAAAAAAGGATCACTGCTGCGTTTTACTTCATCCTGGTTGTTTGTACAGTTTGACTATGGGACTGCTAAAAGGTAATGATCAGAACTAACCTGCAGATACAACTCCAAACACTGATAAAAATGCTAAGAGAACAATGTCAAGCCAACAGAAGCCACAAAGTATCTTCAATATATAGCACAGAAATGCCACTAGTCTCTACGAAAGAAAATAACGTGCCTACTTTTCAAATTGACAACAAAAACAAATACACAGCAGCTTTCATTCTGAGCAGAATTAAATTTTCTGAGCCACTCTCAAGGCCAGCCGGAAGTGTGTGTAAACAGGGTCTCCACACGTAGTTTATCTGTGCTCTCAGTGAATGAATACCTGCGGCTTTCTTTCCTGTTGCAGTTCCCAAATAACAGACCTCACCGGCGGCCCCAGCCCTCCACACCTCACCACGGAGATTCGCTCTCTTTCCTTCCAGACCACAAATGGACGCGCTTATTCGGAGAAAAAGTTCCTGAAGGTCTGCTGTTGAGGTATCTGCCCTACCTGCGCCCCCAAAATCGGAGGACTCCTAAGTACCTTGGAAGCACCTCCGCTCTGCTCCCTCGTCCCGGCTGGTGAGCGCCTCACACTCAGAAAGCAGGAACACGATTTATATGCAGACCTGCACCCGTCCCACCCGTCCCAGCTCGCCTAACCACTTATGTAAGCTCGTCTTCCACGGTCCCAAACTGCAGGCACACCGGCACCTGTCACCACCGAAACGGACCCGCGCCCACAACGAGACGTCTCCCGGGGGTGGGGCCGTGCCTTTGCAAACCGTCTCCCCCACCCCATTAGTTTCTTGCCCATTTCCTGTCACAACTACAATTACCTTAGCAACCAAAGAATGCCTCTGACTCTCTCCGGCTGCCGAATGCCCCCTAAAAGCTCGCTCCAGGTCCGTGGTAAAGCTGGAGGAGCCCCGGGAGCCCGGACCTGCGACCTCTTGGGGGCGGAGGGGAAGTCCAGTCAGGCTGCGCGCCGCCTCTTTCCCGAGTTTCCGCCACGGCGAGCGCAGGGACTCAGCGAGCGGGC